TGCACTGTTATATATTGTAATGTGTTATGGCCATGATTTTTATTTTTTTATTTTCATCTATCTATCTATCCTGTATGATCTGAAGGGGGAGATGTAGAGGGAAAGTGAACTGCACCACTATTGAACCTGTTCCCATGTCATCTGGGGCACACGATGCATAGCTACGGAACTGGAAGTGTTGAGCTTGCGTCCCATCGAACCTTTTGCCTGTGATGGAAAGGCTTATCGGTTAATTGGTTGTGTTGAGTTCCACCAAATCACTTGTATAATGGAAGGTCCCACAGAACTCTTTTCCAGCTAAACCTGAACTGTGTGGATCAACTCATATAATTGATTCACTTGTCCTTGGGAACAGAGACTGAAAAACCCTCTCTGAACATCTCTGTATCATTTAATTGTCTCCCTCTGATGATGATCATTGATTTACTGTCTTCAAGCATATAAAAACCCTGACTGGGATCCTCTCGGTACCGATTCCAGAGCAGTTGGTTGATTGTGAACTGTTCGGCTCAGTCGTTTTGGGCAGAAGTCTGTTAAAATATACAAAGAAAAATTTCTCTTTGTAGGTCTCCCCTTTATTCGCTCAAATTTCCACCACAGGGATTTTGTTTGCAAAGTGTAACTTCAGCCCTAAATCAGGAGAGAAATTTAACAGCAAAACAACAACGGAGTGGAGTGTGGATTAAATATAACCCTCAATTTGGCCTTAATCCAAATAATATGGTGTTCAACAGTAGTGGGACAGTTTCCACATATGCGATGAGTTTTACTGGAGACTTGAGTCAGAAAAACTGCTCCACTATATTTTCCAGTTTAAACACAACATACACAGACACATACTACTCCAGGGTTTAGAACCGTCCATTTCTATCAACAGCTGTTTGTGATTCCTTCTAAATAAGAGTTAAAGGTAAGAGACGTTTCATTCGGAAACAACAGATTAATGACCCGAAGCCCCAAAACATTATTTAATCAACACGTTTTCCTTTCTGAAGGAGACTTTTACTGCTGTAATGATGGAGGAGTTTATTACTGTGTGGCCACCATCAGCTTGAAATCAAAATGCCTTTTCTTAAGTTAAATACATTTTATTTAATCATTGGCTGGTGAATTAATAGACCGTTTTGTTGTGGTTTTAGTACAATACAAGTGTGTGTGAATTATATTTTATCTGCCATTTACATTTACCATTTACGAAGACCAGCAGTGATATTTGTCTCCACCTCCCAGTTCCTCCTCCTTCCTCTCACAGACCATCTTGGTTCAAAGATCTGTGACTTCTGCATTGAACTTGTCAGACAGCAGACTGCACTGAAGAAGAAACACTCACTCAATGTAAGTTAATGTCACCTTCAATACTTCATTTTTATGGATTTACAATCCTTTTTTATTGAAATATCATCAAGTTACAAGAGATTTCTTTCAAATTATTCACAAACAAGTTTACCGAATGCCTGTTGTATCAATGCAGTGAGAGTGTGCAAAATTTGAATAAATACTTGAGTTGAAGAGGATGTAGAAACTCTGAATGAGGAAATGTTTTAGCTAAAGTCATTTATTCAAAGTTTAAATTGGGGTCGTCGTGGCGCAGGGGTTAGAGAAGGTGTGCTGTGAAGCACAAGGTTGGTGCTTTGATTCCAGGCTGCCCCATGTTCCATGTTGAAGTGTCCCTGAGCAAGACACCTAACCCCTAATTGCTCCCCAGGCAAAATGTGAAAAAGCCATGGGTTTAAAGTGTAATGTAAGTCGCTTTGGATAAAAGCGTCTGCTAAATGACCTGTAATGTAAACACAATGAAAGTGTTTCAGGTTCACGAGTCCTGTAATGCAAAGCAACAGAGACTCAGAGTTATTCACAGTGACTAAACTCAAGTCACTGACTGTTAATGCTACATTATTATTATTGTGATGTGTGTGATACATAAAGATGATATAGACTCACGGATATGAGCAGTTAAGGGGAGAACTCTGCTAAAACAAAGACCTGCACTTGATCTAATTGTCCCTCTGTTATGGACGTGGGCTTCTTTGGTAAGAGGGAGACATTCCTAGTTTTATTCTCATCCAACACTCAGAGTCGTACTCGTCCACAGACTTGTGAGCTGTGGTCTCTTCACACACAGGAACTTGTGGTTGCACACAGCATGTTGAACGCTTCCTAGAACACTGATGTTGTGTTTGTGAATCAGGTGGTGAGTGTCATGGCCGACCAGTCTGTTAGGATGGTGACAGCCATCGTGTTCCACGGTGTCTTCTTCCTCTCAGGTGAGCTTCATCTTCACTCACTTGTGTTTCACTTCAATCATTTACTGTTTGGAAAATATCATTTCAACCTAAATTCATGTGAATGTTACAATCTGTGTTTTCCTGCTGATCTCTTTTATCACGGAGACAAAAGTGACGTAGTTATTTGGAGACAGAGACTGGTTTGGTCCCACTGGGCTCGGCCTTGTGGGGGAAAGTTGTAAAACCAAAAAGATGAATCAACACAAAAACTGTTGAGGGAAAAAAAGAACACAACACAAAACATTACTGCTGAAGTATATTTCTCTTTGTGTTCATGTTATTGTTGGGTTTTTACACATTTTAATCACCACTGTTAATCATTAGTTTGTTTCACAGGTTCTTCTGCTGCTTGTTCTGAGGATTCAGGTCTAAACATCACTGCACCAAAAGAGATGGAAGCACTGACTGGATCTTGTTTGCAAATTCCATGTAACTTCAGTGTTAAACAAGGAGAGAAATTAAACAGCACAACGACAACCTTTGGAGTGTGGATTAAAAATGACTCTCGCTTTGGCATGTTTCCAAATAATGTGGTTTTCAACAGTAGTGGGACAGTTTCCACATATCTGATGAGTTTTACTGGAGACGTGAGTCAGAAAAACTGCACCACTTTATTTTCCAGTTTAAACACAACATACACAGACACATACTACTTCAGGGTTGAGAACCGGCCATTTCTAGCAACAGCTCAATGTTATCCACTTCAAATAACAGTGAAAGGTAAGAGACTTTTGTTTTCCATAAAACAATCTGAGATGTTACTACTTAAGGCTGGCGCACGCTTCTGCTTCTGCGTCTGCGTCGTTGCGTCGACGCACTCGCTTCAATTCATGGTTCTAAAAGTCTTGCGTGTCTTGCAGAGCAATTCACCGCCAGAACAACAGGCGGAGTAACGTGTTTCTGTTGAAGACGACCTAGAGAGTCACGTCGTTGTGTGTGGAAGTTGTTGGTTTGTTTATTTATTTATCATACACTTTATTGCCCCGTGCATCGACACGGTTGCTTTTCATCGCGGACACGTTTGTCGTATTTTCCACAACTTTGTGCAGCTCTCGACCGGCAAACCGGCGTTTGCGGAGATCTCCCTCCATGAATCCAACCCGGGTCATATTTACACATTTCTTCCGACAAAAGTTCTTCAATCTGATCCGTTCTCTCGTAAACATTCTTCGTTTAAATAATGGCGGTATCGGGCTATGAAAGCGGAAATGTGAGACTCCGTAAAGGACGTAGTTAGCGGACCAATCGCAGCCTGGTGCGCTGCGGCACTTTCGACGCAAGCCTAGAAAAATGGGTCGACACACGCAAGGACGCAAGGAGGTGTGAAAAGGCAGAAGCTTAAACTAGGCTTTACCTTCTACTTGTTTCTGTTTTTTTCAAACTTGTAATGTGATTATTAATATCTACAGACACCAACCAGAGATTGATATGATATGAATTTATCACTACTATTATTAATCCCATGAGATAGATAGATAAGTACTTTATTGATCCCCTAGGGGAAATTCAAGATCCAGGTAGCTCCTGACAAACATAATATACACATACAGTTAAACTATTAAAAAGGATCATCAAAAAAAAAAAAAAAAGTTAAAACACACATTAAAATATCAGGCTGGGTTGCACGTACATGCCAACTTTTGTATCTAATGCTTAGAAAAGGAGAAGTTACAAAAGTTTCCTTTTGTGGACTATTTACCATCAGCGTTTTGACAAGATTAATTTGTGAAAGTTGACATTTTATTTTCTCCTAATAGAGGGTCACAAATTAAATCTGAGGGGTCATGAGATTGGTGGGAAAAGAAAAGAGAAAACAAGTTCTGCTAAACATTTGAGTTCATATTTGGGACTTTTCTCTAATATTTGATTCATTATGAAGTAGTGTATTTATTAAATGAAGCCATGTGAGAAGTTCAGAGGAGAAATGTTGATGAATCTGCTGACATTCAGAAACATCAGAAAAGTGACTAAAATAAACCAACAAAAATAGTTCAAAACTTTTGCTCTCAAATGTAGAAGAGTACTTTCATCACAGTCTGTAGACTCAAGTCTTGTTGCTCTTTTTTCAGTGTACAATCTGTATTTGATTTGAAACCACAGATTCTCCTCCAAAGCCCAGGATTGAGATCTCAGGTGATGTGAAGGAGAAGGAGTCTGTCTCTATAAGCTGCTCAGCTTCCACTCCCTGTCCACACTCTCCTCCTCAACTCACCTGGAACCTCCAACCAGACTCTCACCTCATGATGGAGGAAAACACAGATCGAACCTTCACAACTAGAATCCAGAAGAGCATCACTCTGTCACATGAACAAGATGGATTCATCATCAACTGTTCTGCCAGATATCCTGTGAATGAAGGAAAAGATGTAAAGACGTCAGAGGAGAAAAAGACTCTCAGTGTTTCATGTGAGTGTTCTTTGATCCTTTCAGCACACGATGATTCATGTGTTCACACGATGTCAGCTGCATAACGTTTTAATGTCACATGTTCCTCAGATGCTCCCAAGAACACCTCGGCGTCCATCTGTCCATCAGGTCGGGTGTCAGCAGGTAGCCGGGTGATCCTGACCTGCTCCAGCAGAGCCAAACCTCCTGTGAGCCGCTTCACCTGGTTCAAGACCAGCAGAGATGCACCAATCAAAGTATCTGAAGGAGACTTTTACAGCTTCAATGTCACTGATGGAGGAGTTTATTACTGTGTGGCCACCAATCAGCTTGGTAATCAAACATCATCAGAGATCCATCTGACTGTAGAAGGTAAACACAGAACTGTATTACAATTGTTACTCAGTTAGAGATGCAGCTTTTTGTTCAGTCGTGCACCTTCACAGGTTCATTTGGGATTCATTAAAAGGAAATGGCTCACTGGCAACGCGATGCTTTACACATCTGGATGTGTTTTGGAGTGCGTGCATTTCCTCCTTTGAACGTGAGCACATATTTAGAGGGGATCCGTCGCACTGCTTTAACAAAGAGACCCCTGATCTTTTCTCATCATCATCAAGTCTTCATGGCTGTGAAGTGACCAGCAGTGATGGAGGCACATTGTGTTATTGTGGATGCAGAAATGAGCTGCACATTCAGCTATCGACAGGACGTCTGTTGGTATTTGAAGTTCACTGCAGGAATTATGATTTGAGTGATAAAATTTTAAAGGTGACCATGTCGTTGTGTTGCAGGTGATCAACTGGTTGGTGCTCAAGTCATCGTGAAGGTCCTGGGAATCATTCTGCTCGTCACTACTTTGCTCATCTTTGAGTGGTGAGAAAACCTTTTCTACAATATGATTGTGTGCAGATACACACCAGTTTGTGTCATTGTGAATGTTGTAATGCATTAATGCATAATTCCTTATCAATATTCATAATGATGATAATACGAATACATTTACAAAGATGCAGAAGGTCAAATATAACAACTCATTCCTTGTTACTCACTGACATTTGAAAGGCTTATAGTGTATTATAGTTGTTGCAATACATCCTCATCTCCTAAAAATGAGATTATAAATTGCACTGTTTGCTTTAAGAAAAGAAGACTACTCATTTATTCTACTTGACCCCTTTGACCATCAAAATAAGCTTTTGGTTGCTGCTCGTTTTAACACGTGAAAAAATCCTTGAAAAAGTCCAGTTTGTCTTTGATGGTAATTGATTTCTTCTCCAAATACAAACAGAAGACAGATCACTTTGTTTGTCTTCATCCACCTTTTCCTTCTCTGAATTAATAATATATCATAACACTTTTTCCGTTGGTTATCATACACCATCAAACAACACTCGCACCTTCTTGCACGTCCTTACAAACTGTTTGCTCCTCACAATAACAACCACCTGTTCCTGTAATGCTGCTGATTATATCGACCTTGTGGCCTAATTTACAGCGTCCTTACGCCCCCAAGTGGTGGGAGGTTAACAAAACAACAAAACGTTACATTTACGTGAAATAATAACCACATAGTAACTTGCAAACGTCTCTGCTTTAGCTTTTCCCTCCCCAGCGTGTAAAGTCTGCTCGTGTCTCTGCTGCTTTTCATTGGCTTTGTAAAGAGAAAAAGTGAAGTAAAGATCTGAACCCTGGAAATAAATCTTTTTGTTGTTTTATTCCTCTGCACCGGAGTCTCAGTCCTGATCGCTCACACTAACAGAATCATTCCTTCTTCTTTTCCTTCCAGCTGGTTGAAATCAAGACGCTGCACCAAACCACAGGAGGTAAGACATCAGAAGAGGAGAGATATTTCATGATCAGGCCCTTGTTTGGTTTACAACATTAGCACAGGAATAATCCTTCAATGGTGGTGATGTTTAAAGAGCAGAGTCTCCTCCAATGCAGTGAAGCACGTCTCCAAATGAATGCTGATGATGCTCTGTGTCGGCTGGATGGTGTCTTTGCTAAGCTGTGTGCCATAAAAGCTTCTTCAAGTGCTTCCATTCATTCATCCATAAGAACAAAATATCCACAATGACAACCTACAAAAATGACTATGTAAGAACTATTAAAACACAACGTAGTTAGAACAGATTTAAACCTGCATTCATTTATTAAGGGCCAGTGCATGAAGCTGTAAACACAACATGGACATTTCATCACTTCATAAAGATGATATGGTGAACATTATCGTGTGTGTGTGTGTTTAACATGTTCTACCTACTTTACATTACATGTCATTTAGCTGACGCTTTTATCCAAAGCGACTTACAATAAGTGCATTCAACCATAGGATACAAACTCAGAAAAACAAGAAACAAGAAAGTGCAATTTCCTCAAATACGCCAATTTACAATTTGCCATAGATGAGTGGCGTTACAAGTACAATTTAAGTGCTACAATTTGTTAGTCTTTAGTCGAGGTAGAGTCTGAAGAGGTGTGTCTTTAGTTTGCGGCGGAAGATGTGAAGGCTCTCTGCGGTCCTGGTGTCTTCAGAGAGCTCGTTCCACCATTTCGGAGCAAGGACAGCAAAGAGTCGTGATCTAGTCGAGTGTTTTGCTCCCAGTGAGGAAGGGACGATGCAGTTTTGCAGATGCAGAGCGGAGAGTGCGGGTCGGGATGTAGGGTTTGGTAGCCAGTGAAGAGATCGGAGCAGTGGAGTAGTGTGGGAGAATTTCGGAAGGTTAAAGACCAGTCGAGGTGCTGCATTCTGGATGAGCTGCAGAGGTCGAATGGCGGTAGCGGGAGACCAGCCAGGAGGGAGTTGCAGTAGTCCAGTCGTGAGATGACAAGAGCCTGAATCAGTATCTGCGCTGCCTTCTGAGTGAGAAGAGGACGTATTCTCCTGATGTTGTAGAGCGTGTATCTACAGGATCGCGTTGTCGCAGTGATGTTGGGAGTCAGGGAGAGTTGGCTGTCGATTGTGACGCAGAGGTTCCTAGCGGTTAAAGTGGGCGTTAGCACGGAGTTGCCAAAGCTGACCGTCAGGTCCTGGGTCTTTAGGTGGTGCATTGCTCCCATGCTGTTCTGTGACACGGACACATCTGTAACACAAAGACAAGCTGCATCTGTTTTCATCTGTAGAGTAACTAAAACTCTTTCCACTGCAGGACGCAGTTGGAGACGACTATGTTAACATGGTGGTGGAGTTACATCCGTCATGAGGCAGAAGAGGAGGCTATGAAGCTGTATCATCTTCTCTGTATTCATTAGTCTTAGTGCGCTTCTTACAACAATGTGTGTTGCTTTTCTCTTAATACTTAATGGTATTCTGTAAAGATGAAGGGTTAATAATGCTTATAAGCTTCTTCTGTGTCTTTCTTAAAATCATCAATAAAAACATCCTCTTATATTTTATCTCGTGTTTATTGCATGTAAAGTCTGTAAAATGAATAAAAATGATGTGTTCATTGAGCAGAAAGTGTTGTGATTCTTTATGTTGTTGAGCAGCTACACACACACTGTATTTATATGTATCTGTGCGTGTAACTTATATAACGTGTAGAATCATTTCACCGGTTCAATTGTGTCCTAGTTCTCATGTCAGGTGAGTCATGTGTGACACATACATGAATGGGGCAGCACGGTGGGGGGGACTGCACATCACATCAACTACCGTAAAACCCTCAGTATCTGCGCAAGCGCACTAGACTACCGTACATGACAATGAGTAAAAACGTTAGAACTGTCGGACTTTTCTAGAAACAAATGTAGCCGGGTGACGTGGGGGCAGAGAGGTGTTCGTACTGCTAGATGGTCCACATACAGGATTAGAGAAAGTGACACTTTAAGTACCATAGGAGTCAAACTCGCGGCCCGCCGCCGGATGACTTTGCTACTGTGAGAATTACAGAACGGTCCTCACGCATGCGCGGTCGCTTCTGCTTCTTTTGCATTGATTCGTTGTTTAGAGGGAGACAGAAGCTGCGGTGAGTCAACATCACACATGTATGGATCCGTGCACACAGGCGCTCGAGTGAGTCCATTATTTTCTCAACCTTTAGAAGAATAACGGTGATGTGAGTGTTGAACAGCATGAGACAGATGTGAATGTTCTTTGTCTCTGCTTAACAGGAGGAAGTCACTACTGTTGTTTTATATGTGGCTCTATTCCATGTTGTCATGCCATACAGAAGTTTAGTAAAAAGCAGTTTTGTTTGTTGTACTCTGTCCTAAGTGTCTTCTTAATTTGACAAATTGCTCCAGGAGGGCAGTCGGGGCAAATAAAGGACCCACATTAAAAATGAATTCATCTTGGTGTCCTGTCTCATCACTTTAATTAGGCTACTCAAAATCTTTGGGTTTCATCCTGAAAACATTAGCAGACCAGTTGTTGAGTTTGTTGACAGGTAGAACTTTTGTCACCTGCACAGAGAAATAATGATAATCATCATCATCAATCACAGTGTATTGTTTATTGACATTGATCGACATGCTGCTCTCAGTGAGAGTCTGTACAGACAAAGAGAGAGATTTGATTTTTAGACAACCTTTAAGATTCAAGATTCAAAGATTTTATTGTCATTTACACACGCCCTGTGTATTGAAATTCTTGTGCTTGCCTTTCCGGAAAGTCGACCAATTTTAAAATAAAAATGTACATGAAATAAAAAATAAAAATGAGGTAAGGATAAGGCAGAAATGAGGTAAGGAGGAAAAGTGCAAAACAGAGCAGGTTGTAAAAGAAAAACTTAATAAAATGAAATGTGTGCAATATAAATGAACAGTACAGTAACAGTAAGTGAATCCTAACAAGCTAAAGTGCAGAGCAGTTGTGGATTAGGTTATAGAGTCCTCTCAGCTGTTGATGGCTCTAATGGCAGTGGGGAAAAAATAGTTTTTCAGTCTGGTGGTCCTGCATTTGACACTTCTGTACCTCCTGTGAGGGTAGAAGCTTGATGTTGGGGGTGGGTGGGATCTTTAATGAATGGAGGCAGCTCTCCTGTCAACCATGCGGTGGTAGATGCTCTGCAGAGAGGGCAGTGGGGTCTTGATGATCTTTTCTGCTGTCCTCACCACTCTCTGCAGGCGTTTGCGGTCCATGGTGGATGTGCTGCCGTACCACACGGTGATGCAGCTGGTTAATATGCTCTCGATGATGCAGCTGTAGAAGTTGCTGAGGATCTTGGGAGACATCCCAAACTTCCTCAGCCTCCTCAGGAAGTACGGTCTTGGTCTTGTCAGTGTTGAGGGTGAGGTTGTTATCCTCGCACCATGACACCAAACTGGCCACCTCCCTCCTGTATGCCGCTTCGTTCCCCCCAGTGATGCGTCCTATCACTGCGGTGTCATCAGCAAACTTCAGGACGATGTTATCTTTGTGGTAGGCGACACAGTCGTGGGTGAACAGGGTGTAGAGGACGGGGCTGAGGACACATCCCTGTGGGGTGCCGATGTTGGTGAAGATGCTGGCTGAAGTCCTGTTTCCAATCCTGACAGACTGAGGCCTGCCAGTCAGAAAGTCAAACAGCCAGTCACAGAGGGTGGGGTGCAGACCGAGTGTGGAGAGTTTATGGATGAGTTTGTCGGGGACGACCGTGTTAAAAGCGGAGCTGTGGTCGACAAAGAGCATCCTAATGTAGGAGTCCTTGTTTTTGGGTGATCCCAGTGTGTGTGTGCCTCTCTGTGCTGGAGCTGGAGGTGGAAGCGGGTGTAGAAGGCGTTGAGGTCCTCCGGTAGGCTATCTGTAGCGCTGATGGAGCTGGTGGTGGTCCTGTAGTCGGTGATGTGCTGTAGGCCTTGTCACATCTGCCTGGAGTCTGCAGTGGAGTAGAAGCCATCCAGCTTCTCTCTGTACTGCCTCTTTGCCGCTTTGATGGCTTTTCTCAGTCGGTACTTAGCAGCTTTGTACTCAGTCTCAATGCCTGATCTGAATGCAGCAGAGCGAGCACGCAGCATCTGACGTACCTGACTGTTAATCCAGGGCTTCTGGTTGGGGAACTTCCTGACCTGTATAGTGGGCACAATGTTGTCTACACAAGTGTAGATGTACCCGGTCACATACTCTGCGCAGTCCTGTACTTTAACAGAGGAGTCCTCCCTTGTGGCTGCAGCTTTGAACACATTCCCGTCTGTTTGAGCAAAACAGTCGGCTCGCAGGGGGGGATGTAAACAGCAGCCAGAAACACAGCAGTGAATTCCCTCGGTAGACAGTAGGGACGGCATTTCAGCAGCAAAAACTCCACGTCTGGTGAACAGTGTCTATAAACAGTCTGTATATCTCCACACCACGAGTTATCGCTGTCTGCCGAGCACTCTCCTGGGGTCAGCATACTCACTCGAGCTCGGTGCGTCAGGGCCTTCCTGGTGGTCGTTGCGGGAGCGAACAATGGCTTGAAGCTCCGGTGGTATAAATCCACTAAATTCAAAAATGCTTTTTGAATTAGCGATGCCTAAAAGTGACTGCCTGTTATACGTTAGCAGTGCATTACAGTAATGCACTGCAGAAAGAGTCAAAAATACAAAAATACAAAAAAAAAAGCGTTCTAGAGCGGAAAAAGCAAACACGTCTGCCACGTGGGGCGCCATGTTTATTTTATATAAAACAATTTTGTTAAGTGGACAATACAGCAGGTATATAATAACAAATATCTATAGTATAATCAATATAATCGGTCGATCTGGACTCGTTCTCCTCCAGCATCTCCTTCTCCGTCAATGGCTCGTCCTCCTGCTCAGGATCCTCCTCAGCCGGTCGGACGCCTCACTCCGTCCCGGTATTTCGTCCCCCTTCCCTGGTGATTTTCAGGTGGATCTTCTTCAGTCGGAAGACCTCCCGCTGGGTGTACTCTCCAGCACCCTTCTTAGTGCTGCCGTGTCGAGCCGAGCGAGCAAACTTCTCCATATTGGAGAAATAGTCCTCCAGCTTCACTGCTCTCTCATTCTTGTTGGCCAGCAGGAACTCCTTCATCTGGCCCACCCCGTACCTTCTGGTGACCGTCCCACCCGAGGAGATGATCTTGGCAGAGCTCCACCCCCAAGAGGACTCAGACTCCCCACCTCCCGCCTCCCCTCTGCTCGCCGCCCCCTCCCCCTCTTTGCCTGAGAGCCTCCCCTGCTGGCCCTCGTCTTCCTCTTCAGGTGGGGGACCTGAGAGCCCACCCCCCCCTCTTTCATATCCTCCTCGCTGTCCGAGCTTTTGCCTCAAAAAGCTCCCCCACCAACGAGTGCCCCCATCCCCTCTTTTCCCCCCCATCCACTCCGACATTCATTCCCTCACCCGTCCCCACAGTCACCCCCACACTCACTCCCTCACACCCCCTGACCGATCGGCTGGGCTTCACCCGTCCCCACAGTCACCCCCTCACTCACCCCCTCACCCACCTGACCGACGACCGGCTGGGCCTCACCCGTCCCTACAGTCACCTGTTCATCCACGCGGCGGACTTCACGGTGCCCCACCAACTCCCCCACGGCTTCACGCCGTGCTGCCGCGTCAGCCGAGGGAGTTCCGACATGCCGACCAGCTACAAATACACACAACCTCGCATAAACAAAAGTCACACATACACGCGACCACGCATTCACACCACAACACACGCCAGAACCACACCGAAAAAAATGAAATAACGGATAGAACAACGTTACCAAACAATTTTCCTGACGCTTCGTTCACTCACCACTCCACCAGAGAGAGATTTTTTGGATTTTTTAAAAACACTTTATTTACACATTTGTATCTTTTATCCTTTTAACAACATGATCACACGTGCCACTTTTTGTTGTTGTTTTTTCCCTTTTTTCCCTTTAGAATATAATATAATATAATGTAATAATACATTATAAAAAAACATGTGCCACTTTTTGTTGTTTTTTTTCTCCCTTTTTTCCCTTTAGAATATAATGTAATAAAACCTTATAAATAAAAAAATGTAAAAGTAAAACTATGTAATCACCTGCTAAAAACTTGTCAAACAATGTCATTAAAACACCAGTCCCCAATGTATTTAGAAAAAAGCCAGAGCCTTGCTCTAATGTTCCACAACCATATCACTTTTGCCTCCTGCCCCTCTCTGTTCTCCACTCTGTTTTTCCTGCTTAAATAAATTGCCATTCTTGCCTCACAGAAAGTTAAGGAGCTGCCATTTTTCTTTTTCCGTTTTCTTGTAGGCAGCTCCCATAATAAAAACCTTTTCCGTAAAAAATACGCTAAAAAGACTAAAAACCAATGTTAAAAGAGAGAAGAAAAGAAATAGTCTCTCTGAGCTCACAGAAAGGACACTGGCTAAGAACAGAGGGATTAAGAACAGAGATAAAAGCATTGGAGGCGACAGCACCATGTAAAATTCTCCACTGGAGGTCGGCAGTCCGTTTTTTGAGGGGAGGTTTGTATAAAATCCTCCACTGTGGGCCAGGTCCATTTTGTCCAAGTTTGTTGGACCACACAGTGGGGAGCCTGTTGCACAGTCCAGTCCTGTTTGTGACCTTCACGCAGTTAAAATACCGTAAAGTCTTTTTGCCCGCTTCATGCAAAGTCAGTTGATCTGGGCGTGTCGTGGCTAGCAGGTGGCCGGTGAGGTCCCCTAGCCCCGGACTCAGGTAGATCCTTGGAAACGGGTCTGCAGGGTCCGGTATCATCTTCTTCTGGCTGTATTCCAAGAGGAGGCTCTTTTCTTCCCCCGTCAGCCTTTGGCTCCACAGCTCCAGGAGCCTCCCTGCCACCCGGACCGAATGCAGCCCAAGTAGGGAGCCCTGGGCCGGGGCATCGCTCAGCGTCGGCCCCACTGGGTCCACCAGCTGCTGCAGGCACAATGTTTTTGTTTTTCGCAGCGCCCCCGTCAGTCCAGGGGTGACGCTGCTGCTGACGTCCAGCTTGGCCCTGCAAATCAATGGTTCTCTCAACAACCAGTACAAAGAGTTAGACAGTGGACACCTTTTTTGAATAAAAAGGGCCCAAGACTTAAAAACGCCCTGATAAAACGGAGGCAGCCCTTTTATATTTAAAATATTGGGATCCATTAAAAACAGAGCAGTATCCAGCCCCAGGTTGTCTGTACGTCTGAGGATGCAACTGGCCACATCTCGCCACACTAAACCCTCCGGACATGTGAGGTATCTTTTCAAAAACTGTAACCTAAAAGTGTCCGTCCGGCTGGTCAAGTGGACAAGACCCTGTCCCCCCTCCTCTCTGGCTAAAAACAGCACCTCTTGTGGCCCCCAGACATTGTCTACCATGGACCTGCCAGGCACACAGTAGGTCTAGTCCCGATGGATGACCTGCTCCATAGCTTCCCTCAGCCTGGAGGCAAAGACCGCGCATAGTAGAGACACAGGGCGCCAGTTGCCAATGTCCTGCAGGTTCCCCTTCTTCGGCAGTAGTGTTATCACCGCTCTGCAGCAGGACATCGGCATGGAACCAGAGGCCAGACTCTCATTAAAAACCTCCAGGACATCAGGTGCGAATATATCCCAGAATGTTTTAAAAACTTCTGCGGGGAGGCCGTCGATGCCAGGAGCACGCCGTCTCTGCATGCCCTGCAAGGCGGCCTTCAGCTCCTGCACCGTTATGGGTCGGTCGAGCGCTTTGTTTGTCTCCTCAGAGACTTGAGGTAGTCCGCTAACGAACTCCTCCGTCAGTGCTTCCTCCTCTCTGTACTCACTGGTGTAGAGGGAAGAGAAAAAGCTGACCGCTCGCCTCCTAATCTGGCATGGTTCCATCACCGGCAACCCAGTGTCTGGGAGTGTCCATCTCCGTGATGGTCTGGAATCGGGACCTGACCAGTGCACCCTGAACTTTAACGTCTAGAGCCGTTTTTTTGATCTTGAGGACTTCAAAATGTCTCGCTCTCCTGTGGACTCGTTTAAACGCTCTAGTTCCACTATATCAGTCTCCAGGTCCTTCATAGATCTGGTGATGTCTCTGGTGACGTTGAAAGTGTGCTGCTGACAAAGAAGCCTAATCTCGATCTTACCGCGGTCCCACCACTGCCTAAGACTACTAAAATCACTCTTCCTCAGCCTAAAAACACTCCAAAAATATGAAAGGACCGCTCTAAAATTCCTATCAAATGTTAAACCAGTTAAAATGCCAGTACGCGCTTTTGGCAAAATGTTCCTAATAAAGTCTGGATGGGTCGCTGTACGTGTGGCAACACTTATTATAACCACAAGAGACTTGAGACTTGACTTGGACTCTAGCATGTAATTATAATTTCCACCACTAGGGATTTCAGCAAGAAGTGCACCCCTAACAGCACTCACGCCTCACCTCATGATCCCGACATCACAGTATGTAAACTTGCTGGAAGAACTTGCTCAACTTTGTCTCTGGTACCTGGTACCTCGAACAGGCCCCCACATCCACATGAAGGTCAGATGTGCACTTCAGTACCTTGATGTTCAGCAGCCGCCGTGGCTTCAGACCTCATAGAACAGGGGGGTTTAAGAATAAAAATTACAGCCAAATAAGGCACAATTTTTATTGTCACCATTATCTTAATTGTTTCAAATGGTCGCCAAACCTAAGCGACTCAGGCAGGTGTGAACAACTATAAACCATAATCTGGGGAGTCAGATACCTTCATATGAAATACCTTAGTGAAGTTGATAAAAATATTTTGCCCCATCAGTTTAATCAGGTAATGCTGTATCTACTATTAAAGGAAGAATTGCATTTTTAAGTTTCCTGATTTATTCAACATTGGATAGTCAGTGGTACATGAATAATATATAAGAATGAAGCTGAGGCCGTATGAAATCTTTGGACACGTGTCACGAGCTAGTGAGGGAGACGCAGACCGTTGACCAAAAGGTAAAGTATTTATTTAGATATCCACACACGGTGGTGACGAGGCACGGGGTGATCAGCCGGGACCAAGATGCCATGAAGGCGACTGCAGCACCGGGCGCCAGGTGTCTCCTGTTGGCACTGACCAGGAACCTGCCTTTAAAGGGACACAAGTAATACGGCAGGGAACCGTCACAACGCCCCTGTGACAGAAGCTCCAATGAAGACTCTGTGGTGCCAATTAAAAGACTCGTACAGCAGAGCGACGCCTACAACGTCCATCAGTGAACACGTTTAATGCAGGCTGCTCGGGTGTTGCTCTACTTCTGAGACACAAACTGTAAGAAAGTGTAACCAAAGGGTTCTTGTGTGTGTGTGTGTGTGTGTGTGTGTGTGTGTGTGTGTGTGTGTGTGTGTGTGTGTGTGTGTGTCAGGAATTCAAGCAGAAAAACAGCCTAGTGTTTGAAACTTCAATATATGTGATCGTGATCATGTGAGTATTGGTTAAATTAAAGTTTGTGGTATTCGATAGAATAAATTATGTATTATGAATCAAACATATTGTTCATTTGTAAGTCATTTAATTTCCATAAGGTAATGTTCAGCCTGAGAGAGTATTTGTGTCTTAACGTATTTCTTCCTTATTTTTATCCACAAACTTTTAATGTGAATATAAATATCTACAGACACCAACCAGGGATTGAAATGTTTACATTTCCTGGATATGAATTTATGTTTTTGTTTACTACTATTAAGAATCCCATGAGAAAGCTTCCTGAACATGCCGACCTTTGCACTAATGCTGGAAAAACGAACAGTTTTAAAAGTTTTAAACAATGTTTTGACTGTTTACCATCAGCGTTTTGACAACATTAATTAGCAAGTTAACATTTTATTTTTGCCTATAAAGGGTCATAAGTTCAATCTGAGGGGTCATGAGGTGATTGGTGGGAAAAGAAAAGAGAAAAGGTTCTGCGGCACATATGAGTAATATATATATATATATATATATATATATATATATATATATATATATATATTGGACTCTGATCTTTGCTTCATTATGAAGTAGTGTAATTATTAAATGAAGCCATGTGAGACGTTCAGAGGAGAAATGTCAATGAATCTGCTGACATTCCGAAAACATCAGAACACAACAAACATATTATTTAAAATTATTCATAATCAAACATCTGATCTTGGAGTAAAAGTTTAAAAAAAATGCTCTCAAATGTAGAAGAGTACTTTCATCATAGACTGTAGACTCAAGTCTTGTTGGTCTTTTTTCAGTGTACAATCTGTGTTTGATTTGAAACCACAGATTCTCCTCCAAAGCTCAGGATTGAGATCTCAGGTGCTGTGAAGGAGAAGGAGTCTGTCTCTATAAGCTGCTCAGCTTCCACTCCCTGTCCACACTCTCCTCCTCAACTCACCTGGAACCTCCAACCAGACTCTCACCACATGATGGAGGAAAACACAGATCAAACCTTCACAACTAGAATCCAGAAGAGCATCACTCTGTCACATGAACATGATGGATTCATCATCACCTGTTCTGCCAGATATCCTGTGAATGAAGGAAAAGATGTAAAGACGTCAGAGGAGAGAAAGACTCTCAGTGTTTCATGTGAGTGTTTGTTCTTTGATCCTGTCAGCATACGATGATTCATGTGTTCACACAATGTCAGCTGCATGAAGTTTTAATTTGACATTTTCCTCAGATGCTCCCAAGAACACCTCGGAGTCCATCAGTCCATCAGGTCGGGTGTCAGCAGGTAGCCGGGTGAACCTGACCTGCTCCAGCAGAGCCAAACCTCCTGTGAGCCGCTTCACCTGGTTCAAGACCAGCAGAGATGCACCAATCAAAGTATCTGAAGGAGACTTTTACAGCTTCAATTTCACTGATGGAGGAGTTTATTACTGTGTGGCCACCAATCAGCTTGGTGATCAAACATCATCAGAGATCCATCTGACTATAGAAGGTGACTAATAAAGGTACTTCACCAATCAATTTTGTTACATTCCCATAGTGTCTTTATTTAGTCACTTGTTTTTTTTCATCTTGTCTTGAAGTGGAGTTGATCATCTTCCATTGGGTGCAGTTCTTGGAGGAATCATTGGGATCATCGTGCTCATCGGCCTGGTTGTCTTTGTTTGGTCAGTAGCATCAGTGAAGAATGTGTCTCCAATGACATGTGGTCTTTTTTTGGTACTCTGTGTATTAGACCCAACATTTTGTCTTGCAGGCGTTTCAAGTCTCCACATCCAACTGCACATCAGAGTCAGGTGAGAACACACCAAACAACTCTGTGTGGTTTGGAATAATTTGGAAGCAATCGGCTTTCACAATCACTTCCTGTTTGCTTCATTTATTTTATGCAGAATCAGCCTGTTGGAGAGACAGTGACAACAGAAGAAGAAGGCGTGCACTATGGAGAGATTAACTTCTCGGGGCTCAGATCTGGACCGTCTTCGGTCTCGGAGCAGGACGGTGGACAGCAGGAGGACACGCTGTATGCGCAGGTCAAAGTGTCCAAGGCAGCAGACAACGTCACACGGACTGCTGACGTCCCAGAGGATCTCTACGCTCAAGTGAAGAGAAAATGAGCCATTTCTTGTGGTCACATTTGGGTTTTATTGTTAATATGCTTTTTACATAAATAACAAGCTTCATCTGTCAGTTTATGGAGAAAAAGAATTGTAAGAAAATGTAATCTTCACTGCTCACAGTTAATTAAAGGGGAACTTCAAACCTCCACATCCTGCAGCACCCTGCAATTTTATACATTGTTGACATATTGAGGTATTCACGATTAGTATAAATAATAGTCCCACTGCTCTAAATAGAGTAAGTAAGTACAAGTATTCTCAAAGAAAGCCCTGTTAATATATCAGCTTATGATTTTTTCTTTGTTTCATATTTTAAAAGGTGTCTTCAAAACTCATTTAGTTATCTTTAGGATTAATGTTTTATTGTTCTATTTCGTCTTCTTCAAAAGACAATTTACTGAATTTCAAGATATGTATTAATTGCAACGTAATAAAAAACTATACACACAACTTAATCTCTGTTGCAATTATTGGTCCATAATTTCACGTATGGTGTGTAAACATCTTCTTAAAATCATACAGCTTAAATCACAAACATTACAGAGGTGGCAGAATAAATTATGCACAACAATTCCCACTTGATAGTCTTTTTATTAATTTATTTGAATGCAAAGCTTAACGAGAAATAGAAAGGGCATTTCCTGAAACTCAGTCAATTGTATAATAAAAGATCTGGTGCTAAAATACACTTTAAAAAAAGTTAAAACTGTGTGACTTTTCTCAAAAGATCATCTTTGGGTTTCAGCATGAAAACATTAGCAGCCCAACAGTTGAGTTGTTTAACGTCTCAAAAGGCACAACAAGGTTGTGTTGATTGTGTTTTAGTGACATTAGCTTCTTTATGTTCAACGTCTGAGAAATCTGACCTTCATGTTGGGACAAACCTCCCTCCTCCCACCGGCATCCATTAGTGGAAAGTCACGTCCAAAGTTGCTGCATTGTAGACTTTTTATCTCTGACATTTCTATTCCGACAGATTTCCCTTCATAAAAGAGAAAGATGAATCACTGGTTGTGATTATTTTACACACACAAAGTGAACGATTACTGGCCTGGCTATTGTTTTTATTTTATTTAAATGGAGCTTTTCATTTATCAGATCATTGAAATTCAAACAATTAAAATACTGACACAAACCATCTTTGATGAGCAGCGAGTACTAGAACTCTCTAAAACCTGCATTTCAGTTCACAAACTTTTTGTAAAAACCAAATAGGGGTCAGATGTTTCTAAGCCAAATCCCAACCTGTTCCTCAGGACTCAGGGTTCATGTTTACATGAATAAAACCAATAAGTGTGATTAGGGATCTAAGCTGTGTGTGTGTGTGTGTGTGTGTGTGTGTGTAGCTCCGCCTCCACCTGAGCAGGTAGATCGGCTCCAACTTGCTGGGAGAAGTAGGCTCTCAACTCCTTCGTCTCCTTCTGCCAGAAAGACCTGGGCACGTCGAACAGGGCCCCCATATCCACATCGCTGCCCAGACCTTTGGTGACGATGGCGCCATCCTCTGGCAGCCAGCCGATGATGCTCCTCTTGGCCGCCTCCTCCTCCCTCTCCCGGCCGCAGCGCTTGAAGATCCACTCCAGGGCGCGCACGTTCTCGCCGAACCCGGGCCACAGGAAGGCGCCGTTCGCCGGGTTCTTCCTGAACCAGTTTACGTGGAAGATCTTGGGCAGGTGAGTGGGGGCCTTCCGGGTCTGCATGCTCAGCCAGTGAGCGAGGTAGTCGCCGAAGTTGTAACCGAAGAACGGCCGCATGGCGAAGGGGTCGTGCATGATCACCTTGCCTGGAGAATGAAGAAGGGGCTTTAGCAGTAGAAGGTCAGGTGATGCTCAGCAGCCGCCGTGGCTTCAGACCTCATAGAAGCTCCAATAAAGACTTTGCGTTGCCAATAGAAAGACTCGTACACCAGAGGGACTCCTACAAAGTCAATCATTGAACACATTTGATGCACGATTAATTCAAGCAGAAAAGCACGCCTATAGCGTTTGAAACTATAACATGTGTGTGTCAGAACCGAGCGGGACTCAGACGCAGAGCAGGTGTATAGGATGACAGTTTATTCATAGTACAGAGTACTAATAGATCCAAAAAGAAGGTCACTCCAAAAGGAGGAAAACAAAGCTACTTATCTAAACCTAACTGAGACCTGACGCTGGAACAAAAAAGAGCTACAAAGAAAAATCACTCGAACGAGGTAAAACTGTGGTCACGAGACTAGAGAAACTATGACTATGGATCTTGGACACTGGCTGGTATGACGACGTAGGACGACACACTGGCACAAGACAAAGGGAGACGCAGACTATATGAACACATGGGGGAAGCGGGAACAGGTGGACACAATCAGGAATCAGGAAGACAATCAGTCTGGTGACACATCAGGAAGAGCAAGGAACCCGAAACGAGAGTTAATTTCCAAAATAAAACAGGAAGTCACGAAAACAAACGTGGAGACACTTGACATACAGGTGTGATAGTGTGATCAGGACCAGTGGTAAAATCATAGTTTGTGTGGTTGAATAGCAGAATAATTTCTCTATTATGAATCAAACATATTGTATATTTTCAGTGATTGTTAACCATAGGGTACAAATTGAAGAGACCGGAGATATTGACGTTATTTATCCATGAGACGCTCTTTTGCTTCCCACCACTTGGTGGCGGTAACGCGTCCGTCAGTTGTTTAAACAGCTCCAATAAGCAGAAAATAGACAGCCGCCAAGCTGGTCTGTAAGTGAAAGTCATTAGAAATTTAAAATAAAAAATGAAGAGGAAGGTGGTGCCCAACAATACAATCCTGACTTCATTAAGTACGGATGTATAAACGGAGGTAATAAGGAGGTGTATAAGGAGAGAGCCCAGTGTGGAGTTTGGACCAACAACGAAGCACCGAAGCCGTCGAAATCGGACCTGAAAGCCAGTCACCTCGTAGCCAGACGTGTGGCACAAGAAACCTTCCACCACAGCGGAGGAGTCGGTTCTACACGCCGCTGCGGATGTGCGCGTGAGACGATCAAGTGTTGATCGCGTGAAGAAGATATGAAGAGCAACTGGCTCTGTGATGTCAAAACATTGACTGCTGAAGCATTATTCAAATGAATTTGATTATAAGCTTATGAGGCTACTTGTTGATTTGCACTTTGCACTAAAAAACTAAGCCAAAACCGAAAGAAAAGAGAAAATAATTACATTTACGCAAAAACTATACTAGTAAAACACCGACAAACGGCTTAACCAAAGCTTAACGAAATCACAAATAAGGAAAATAACTAATAAGTACGGCCTGTCTCTTGTACACAGTTAAAATATGTCTTGACCCAGTTAGGAGGCCCACAGCGAAACACGCAAAAATTAGCAATGTGGGGAGGCCAAAACAAAGCAGACCCCAAACCAGGGTGAACTTGGCCAAAGCAGACCCCAAAGCCAAAGCAGACCCCAAACAGGGTGAATTTAGCCAAAGCAGACCCCAAAGCCAAAGCAGACCCCAAACAGGGTGAATTTAGCCAAAGCAGACCCCAAAGCCAAAGCAGACCCCAAACAGGGTGAATTTAGCCAAAGCAGACCCCAAAGCCAAAGCAGTAGTGTTGTTACCTCCGACCCTCCTGCTTCGAAGCTTGTTCAGGATTCGGAAACAGGATTCGGGCTTGTCGATTTGATACAGTCAAAGTCAGTGTTGTTGTAGCAGTAGTAGAAAAGAGCAAATTTACAATGGAACCTGTGGCAGAGAGGTCGCTCCGAGATGTGGGAGCACTTCAATTTGATTTCCTCTTACACTGTTGGCAATAGGCAGGCAAAGTCTGTCATTTGTATTGTGTAATTATGTAATTATGTTTATTTTTATTGTGGAGACCACCAGATATTTTGCTGAATCAAACATTCCACGGAGTGAAGACCCGCTAAAATATTGGACAAGCATGTGTACCCACATCTATTTGTATTAGCACGTAATCTTATGAGCATTCCTGCCTCATCCGTGCCGTGTGAGCACCTTTTTTCTAAGGCAGGGAAATAGTATCTACAAAAAGAAACCGACTCAACCCAAATACTGTGAAGAAAATTGTGTTTCTCAATAAAAATCAATAATTTCATGCCCCATCCCATGTGTCCACAAGCACCACAATATCCTGTCATAACAAACCTGTCCAAAAGCACAATCACTGCCCCACTGACCTTTCCTCTGTAAATCACTTCCCACATTCCAACAATTCACAGAAGTCCCTATGACTGCTATGAACTGCACATGCAGTAGGAAGCACTGGTATTTTAAATTGTATTGCTTAAATACATACACAGAAGATAATCATCAAAATATACTGGTAGGCTATTTGATACATATGCACTATAGGTTTTCAACAGCAGAGGTCATCATAGTTTGCGATGCACTGAATCAATGAACCTTTTTCCGATACAACTGGCTGGAAAGCTTCACTTTGCTATCACTACAAAGCAGACCCCAAACAGGGTGAATTTAGCCAAAGCAGACCCCAAACAGGGTGAATTTAGCCAAAGGCAAAGCAGCAGTGGTCTCTGGCAGGTTGGCTGGTGTAGTGCTGCTGCTCAATGATCCTTTGCCCGGTCAGGCCGTTTCGGACAATCAGCGTGGGTCAGAGGGATCAACGATACCACGAGAGTTACCAGCGGTGGACATTGAGTGCATCAGGTGGAGAATAGTATGCAGCCATACCAGTGAGCTTCTGGGACACAAAAAACACTTAAATGAGCACTGGACGGACCACCTGGAAGCGAATACAGCTGCTGCCGACACCCTGCCTCTGCCTAACACTCTTAAGACACTGCTCACAATCCTTTGATAAAATCCAGCTGTGTGCGTCTACTCAGTGCTGCTCCAGCTGCTGAATGCCTCTCCTCCTCCTTTTTTTGGTTCACGGGTTAAGGTTTTTAGTTGGCATCCATCTTATTGGTGCATTATCGCCACCTTCTGCCCCGGAGTGTGAATTAGACACTTTCTTTCTCCCAACATGCCCCTCCCTCCCCAAAAATAAATAAGTAAATAAAAATAAGAAATAAAAATAAACACATTTATCCACACACACATCAGCTCAGCTAAAATTACAAAACAAGACAGTTATTGAAATAAATTTGAATGCACATGAGCAGGAGTCCAGTTAATAATGCATCAATATTCATCCTCAGGACGACATTTTATTCAGTACAAGACGACCAAAATGAAAAGTATCTGCCTCTCACCGTGGAAGTTACTTGTTTGTCATGTTTCCACATGTTCAGTTGGTGTTGTTACTCTGAGTGAGGTGAGAAACCGTTATTTAGCTTTGTGGCTCTAACAGATGAATAAGGAGAAGTGGGGAGTATCACCCAATACATTCTGAGAACTTAAGAACAGGGGAAGTTGTTTAGTCAGACACTGCAGTACTCTCACTTGTGAAGTACAACTTTCTGCAATAAAATTCATTAGGAAATGCCATTTTCAACTCAAAGAATATGTTATGTGTACGAGGGATGAGACAATGTAGGATTGCATAAGATATTCCATTAAAGAATAAAGAAGTAATATCATGTACAAAGGCGCAGACTCACGCAAAATGTTTTTTTAAGTTCACTAAAACCGATAATGGGCGGCACGGTGGTGTGGTGATTAGCACTGTCGCCTCACAGCAAGAAGGTTGTGGGTTCAACTCTACCCAGTGGCCTTTCTGTGTGGAGTCTGCCTCCGGGTGCTCTGGCTTCCTCGCACAGCCCCCCCTCCCCCCATGCAACGCTGTGTGACGGATAAGTGCTTTGAAGATGGATGGATGAATTAAAAAAGTTGCCACATTGGTTTGGAACGCCCAAATGTTATGGGAGGCTCTCCGCTCGCAGCCTTTTCTTAAGCAGAATGCACCCCCCCCCCCCCACTGGCAAAGGCCTGTCGCCGTTCCTGGAAGTCCTGCAGCTTGCCGGACATTATGCATTATGCTGAGCATGAGGAAGATGTTCAAAATGGTCAGGACGCACTAAGAAGGACAAGGAAACAGGAGAGACTGGACGACGCCCAGCTGACCATATACAACGCAATGGCAAACGGGGCGCGGGGACGGAGGCAAGGACGAGGCAGAGACACGTTCCAAAACAGCGCAATTGTCCCACGTGATGATTTGAGGTTTCTAGTCCACATACCATTTTGTCCAGTAGTTGATTTGGCGAATGCATTTTTCTCCATGCCCGTCCATCCTGAGTGTGAATGTTGGTTGGCATTCACCTTCCAGGGGCGTAGCTACACCTGAGCAAGATGTCCACAAGGATACTCATGTCAAACTTTCATCTGCAGCTGAGCCTAAATTTACAAAACTAACTTCCTATCAGGTTAGATGACGACATGTGGATGACCTCATGGTGGCTAGGCCCTCAGAAGAAGCATGCAAAACAAGACACAGTTGCACTTTTGACCTTTCTGGCTAACAATGGTCACAAAGTCAGCACTAAACTTCAACTTGTCCAGACAAAAATAACGTATCTGGGACATCTGATCACAGCAGCGGGATATTCCCTCTCCAAAACGCCAAAAACAAAGAAACAAGTGTTTCCTAGGAATGACGTCATACTGCAGACAGTGGATCCTTAACTATTTAGAACTGTCCATGGCAAACAATTGACAGCTTGATGTATCATTTAATTGTCTCCCTCTGATGATGATCATTGATTTACTGTCTTCAAGCATATAAAAACCCTGACTGGGATCCTCTCGGTACCGATTCCAGAGCAGTTGGTTGATTGTGAACTGTTCGGCTCAGTCGTTTTGCGCAGAAGTCTGTTAAAATATACAAAGAAAAATTTCTCTTTGTAGGTCTCCCTTTATTCGCTCAAATTTCCACCACAGGGATCTTGTTTGCAAAGTGTAACTTCAGCCCTAAATCAGGAGAGAAATTTAACAGCAAAACAACAACGGAGTGGAGTGTGGATTAAATATGACCCTCAATTTGGCCTTAATCCAAATAATATGGTGTTCAACAGTAGTGGGACAGTTTCCACGTATCCGATGAGTTTTACTGGAGACTTGAGTCAGAAAAACTGCTCCACTTTATTTTCCAGTTTAAACACAACATACACAGACACATACTACTCCAGGGTTTAGAACCGTCCATTTCTATCAACAGCTGTTTGTGATTCCTTCTAAATAAGAGTTAAAGGTAAGAGACGTTTCATTCGGAAACAACAGATTAATGACCCGAAGCCCCAAAACATTATTTAATCAACACGTTTTCCTTTCTGAAGGAGACTTTTACTGCTTTAATGATGGAGGAGTTTCATTTTATTTAATCATTGGCTGGTGAATTAATAGACAGTTTTGTTGTGGTTTTAGTACAATACAAGTGTGTGTGAATTATATTTTATCTGCCATTTACAGGAACACCAGCAGTGATATTTGTCTCCACCTCCCAGTTCCTCCTCCTTCCTCTCACAGACCATCTTGGTTCAAAGACTTGTGACTTCTGCATTAACTTGTCAGACAGCAGACTGCACTGAAGAAGAAACACTCACTCAATGTAAGTTAATGTCACCTTCAATACTTCATTTTTATGGATTTACAATCCTTTTTATTGAAATATCATCAAGTTACAAGAGATTTCTTTCAAATTATTCACAAACAAGTTTACCGATTGCCTGTTGTATCAATGTAGTGAGAGTGTGCAAAATTTGAATAAATACTTGAGTTGAAGAGGAAGTAAAAACTCTGAATGAGGAAATGTTTTAGCTAAAGTCATTTATTTAAAGTTTAAATTGTAATAACACAATAAGTGTGTGAGGTTCATCAGTCCTGTAATGCAGAGCAACAGAGGCTCAGAGTTATTCACAGTGACTAAACTCAAGTCACTGACTGTTAATGCTACATTATTATTATTGTGATGTGTGTGATACATAAAGATGATATAGACTCACGGATATGAGCAGTTAAGGGGAGAACTCTGCTAAAACAAAGACCTGCACTTGATCTAATTGTCCCTCTGTTATGGACGTGGGCTTCTTTGGTAAGAGGGAGACATTCATAGTTTTATTCTCATCCAACACTCAGAGTCGTACTCGTCCACAGACTTGTGAGCTGTGGTCTCTTCACACACAGGAACTTGTGGTTGAACACAGCATGTTGAACGCTTCCTAGAACACTGATGTTGTGTTTGTGAATCAGGTGGTGAGTGTCATGGCCGACCAGTCTGTTAGGATGGTGACAGCCATCGTGTTGCACAGTGTCTTCTTCCTCTCAGGTGAGCTTCATCTTCACGCACTTGTGTTTCACTTCAATCATTTACTGTTTGGAAAATATCATTTCAACCTAAATTCATGTGAATGTTACAATCTGTGTTTTCCTGCTGAGCTCTTTTATCACGGAGACAAAAGTGACGTAGTTATTTGGAGACAGAGACGGGTTTGGTCCCACTGGGCTCGGCCTTGTGGGGGAAAGTTGTAAAACCAAAAAGATGAATCAACACAAAAACTGTTCAGGGAAAAAAAGAACGAACAACACAAAACATTACTGCTTAAGTATATTTCTCTTTGTGTTCATATTATTGTTGTGTTTTTACACATTTTAATCACCACTGTTAATCATTAGTTTGTTTCACAGGTGCTTCTGCTGATTGTTATGGGCTTACAGCTCTATTCATCACTGCACCAAAAGAGATGGAATCACTGACTGGATCTTGTTTGCGAATTCCATGTAACTTCAGTGTTAAACAAGGAGAGAAATTAAACAGAAAAACAACAACCTTTGGAGTGTGGATTAAAAATGACCATCGCTTTGGCAAACATCCAAATAATGTGATTTTCAACAGTAGTGGGACAGTTTCCACATATCCGATGAGTTTTACTGGAGACTTGAGTCAGAAAAACTGCACCACTTTATTTTCCAGTTTAAAAACAACATACACAGGAAAATACTACTTCAGGGTTGAGAACCGGCCACTTCTAGCAACAGACGAATGTGATTTTCTTCAAATAACAGTTAATGGTAAGAGACTTTTGTTTTGCATAAAACAATCTGAGATGTTATTACTTAGCATCTACTTGTTTCTGTTTTATTCAAACTTTTAATGTGAATATAAATATCTACAGACACCAACCAGGGATTGAAATGTTTACATTTCCTGGATATGAATTTATGTTTTTGTTTACTACTATTAAGAATCCCATGAGAAAGCTTCCTGAACATGCCGACCTTTGCACTAATGCTGGAAAAACGAACAGTTTTAAAAGTTTTAAACAATGTTTTGACTGTTTACCATCAGCGTTTTGACAACATTAATTAGCAAGTTAACATTTTATTTTTGCCTATAAAGGGTCATAAGTTCAATCTGAGGGGTCATGAGGTGATTGGTGGGAAAAGAAAAGAGAAAAGGTTCTGCGGCACATATGAGTAATATATATATATATATATATATATATATATATATATATATATATATATATGGACTCTGATCTTGCTCATTATGAAGTAGTGTAATTATTAAATGAAGCCATGTGAGACGTTCAGAGGAGAAATGTCAATGAATCTGCTGACATTCAGAAAACATCAGAACACAACAAACATATTATTTAAAATTATTCATAATCAAACATCTGATCTTGGAGTAAAAGTTAAAAAAAAATGCTCTCAAATGTAGAAGAGTACTTTCATCACAGACTGTAGACTCAAGTCTTGTTGGTCTTTTTTCAGTGTACAATCTGTATTTGATTTGAAACCACAGATTCTCCTCCAAAGCCCAGGATTGAGATCTCAGGTGATGTGAAGGAGAAGGAGTCTGTCTCTATAAGCTGCTCAGCTTCCACTCCCTGTCCACACTCTCCTCCTCAACTCACCTGGAACCTCCAACCAGACTCTCACCACATGATGGAGGAAAACACAGATCGAACCTTCACAACTAGAATCCAGAAGAGCATCACTCTGTCACCTGAACATGATGGATTCATCATCAGCTGTTCTGCCAGATATCCTGTGAATGAAGGAAAAGATGTAAAGACGTCAGAGGAGAGAAAGACTCTCAGTGTTTCATGTGAGTGTTTGTTCTTTGATCCTGTCAGCATACGATGATTCATGTGTTCACACAATGTCAGCTGCATAAAGTTTTAATGTCACATGTTCCTCAGACGCTCCCAAGAACACCTCGGTGTCCATCAGTCCATCAGGTCGGGTGTCAGCAGGTAGCCGGGTGAACCTGACCTGCTCCAGCAGAGCCAAACCTCCTGTGAGCCGCTTCACCTGGTTCAGGACCAGCAGAGATGCACCAATCAAAGTATCTGAAGGAGACTTTTACAGCTTCAATGTCACTGATGGAGGAGTTTATTACTGTGTGGCCTCCAATCAGCTTGGTGATCAAACATCCTCAGAGATCCATCTGACTATAGAAGGTAAACACAGAACTTGATTACATTTGTTAGTCTGTTAGGACGCAGCATTTTGTTTCCATAGAGATTTGCAAAAAAGTGTTTTTTACACATTTAAGGTCTCATTTATATTCATGGTGTTTGCACAAATTGGCTTCCTAAAGAGGCCGAGCCACTTTAAAAGCAGAAGTTTTAATCTATAAAAACATTTTTGACGTTTTGGAGACACAGATGGTGAATTAAAGCCAGACTGTAAAAATTAAATGTGCGATGCATCATTACAACAAAACATCTTCTATTTAACATCCATCCCACGTTACTTTGCAGCAATAGATCCTCTTCATCATTAACAGTAAAACCAGAAGAGTCATTGGTTCTTGTACTAGTGTATATAACAGTACACACGTTTCAATCGTTAAAGATGTAAACCAACTTAAACCTAAAATCAAATGTGGCTTAATATCTAATATTTAGTTCTCCTACTCTCTGCTGTACGAGTCACTCTTGGTCATCTGTGGAGCAGCTGATGGATTCGTCATCATCCGATAACGTGAACTGTTGAATAACTGCAGAACACGGCCTCGTCATTTAAAACAAATCTTTTAGTACTTTGCATATTGAGCCAGGTAATATTTTACTTTGCATCAAGTGTTTGGGACTAAAATCGCTGCAGGAAACACAACATAATTGATAAATATATGGTTTATTCCAAGCAGTGACGGAGAGATGCTGCATCTGATAGTGGAGTAAAAGAAAAACATTTCACTCTCAAATATAGAAGAGTACTTTCATCACAGACTGTAGACTCAAGTCTTGTTGCTCTTTTTTCAGTGTACAATCTGTATTTGATTTGAAACCACAGATTCTCCTCCAAAGCCCAGGATTGAGATCTCAGGTGATGTGAAGGAGAAGGAGTCTGTCTCTATAAGCTGCTCAGCTTCCACTCCCTGTCCACACTCTTCTCCTCAACTCACCTGGAACCTCCAACCAGACTCTCACCACATGATGGAGGAAAACACAGATCGAACCTTCACAACTAGAATCCAGAAGAACATCACTCTGTCACATGAACATGATGGATTCATCATCACCTGTTCTGCCAGATATCCTGTGAATGAAGGAAAAGATGTAAAGACGTCAGAGGAGAGAAAGACTCTCAATGTTTCATGTTAGTGTTTGTTCTTTGATCCTGTCAGTATACGATGATTCATGTGTTCACACAATGTCAGCTGCATGAAGTTTTAATTTTACATTTTCCTCAGACGCTCCCAAGAACACCTCGGTGTCCATCTGTCCATCAGGTCGGGTGTCAGCAGGTAGCCGGGTGAACCTGACCTGCTCCAGCAGAGCCAAACCTCCTGTGAGCAACTTCACCTGGTTCAAGACCAGCAGAGATGCACCAATCAAAGTATCTGAAGGAGACTTTTACAGCTTCAATGTCACTGATGGAGGAGTTTATTACTGTGTGGCCACCAATCAGCTTGGTGATCAAACATCCTCAGAGATCCATCTGACTATAGAAGGTAACTAATAAAGGTACTTCAGTAATCAATATTGTTACATTCCCATAGTGTCTTCATTTAGTCACTGTTGTTTTTTTCATCTTGTCTTGAGGTGGAGTTGATCATCTTCTATTGGGTGCAGTTCTTGGAGGAATCATTGGGATCATCGTGCTCATCGGCCTGGTTGTCTTCGTTTGGTCAGTAGCATCATTAAAGAATGTGTCTCCAAATGTGGTCTTTTTTTGGTATTCTGTGTATTAAACCGAACATTTTGTCTTGCAGGCGTTTCAAGTCTCCACATCCAACTGTACATCAGAGTCAGGTGAGAACACACCAAACAACTCGGTGTGGTTTTGTTATTTGGAATCAAGCGGCTTTCACAATCACTTCCTGTTTGCTTCATTTATTCTTTCATGCAGAATCAGCCTGTTGGAGTGACAGTGACAACAGAAGAAGGAGGCGCGCACTATGGAGAGATTAACTTCTCGGGGCTCAGATCTGGACCGTCTTCGGTCTCGGAGCAGGACGGTGGACAGCAGGAGGACACTTTGTATGCGCAGGTCAAAGTGTCCAAGGCAGCAGACAACGTCACACGGACTTCTGGCGTCCCAGAGGTTCTCTACGCTCAAGTGAAGAGAAAATGAGACGTTTCTTGTCACTTTTGGGTTTTATTGTTAATATGCTTTTTACATAAATAACAAGCTTCATCTGTCAGTTTATGGAGAAAAAGAATTGTAAGAAAATGTAATCTTCACTGCTCACAGTTAATTAAAGGGGAACTTCAAACCTCCACATCCTGCAGCACCCTGCAATTTTATACATTGACATATTGAGGTATTCACGATTAGTATAAATAATAGTCCCACTGCTCTAAATAGAGTAAGTAAGTATAAGTATTCTCAAAGAAAGCCCTGTTAATATATCAGCTTATGGTTTTTTTTGTTGCATATTTTAAAAGGTGTCTTCAAAACTCATTTAGTTATCTTTTGGATTAATGTTTTATTGTTCTATTTTGTCTTCTTCAAAAGACAATTTACTGAATTACAAGATATGTATTAATTGCAACGTAATAAAAAACCTATACACAACTTAATCTCTGTTGCATTTATTGGTCCATAGTTTCAAATATTGTGTGCAAACATCTTCTTAAAATCATACAGCTTAAATCACAAACATTACACAAGTGTCAGAATGAATTTTGCGCAACAATTCCTGCTTGGTGGTCTTTTTATTAATTTATTTGAATGCAAAGCTTAACGAGAAATAGAAAGGGCCTTTCCTGAGACTCAGTCAATTGTATAATAAAAGATCTGGTGCTAAAATACACTTTAAAAAAAAGGTTAAAACTGTGTGACTTTTCTCAAAAGATCATCTTTGGGTTTCAGCATGAAAACATTAGCAGCCCAACAGTTGGGTTGTTTAACGTCTCAAAAGGCACAACAAAGTTGTGTTTATTGTGTTTTAGTGACATTAGCTTCTTTATGTTCAACGTCTGAGAAATCTGACCTTCATGTTGGGACAAACCTCCCTCCTCCCACCGGCATCCATTAGTGGAAAGTCACATCCAAAGTTGCTGCAATGTAGACTTTTTATCTCTGACATTTCTATTCCGACAGATTTCCCTTCATAAAAGAGAAAGATGAGAGTCACTGGTTGTGATTATTTTACACACACAAAGTGAACGATTACTGGCCTGGCTATTGTTTTTATTTTATTTAAATGGAGCTTTTCATTTATCAGATCATTGAAATTCAAACAATTAAAATACTGACACAAACCATCTTTGATGAGCAGCGAGTACTAGAACTCTCTAAAACCTGCATTTCAGTTCACAAACTTTTTGTAAAAACCAAATAGGGGTCAGATGTTTCTAAGCCAAATCCCAACCTGGTCCTCAGGACTCAGGGTTCATGTTCACATGAATAAAACAAATAAGTGTGATTAGGGATCTAAGCTGTGTGTGTGTGTGTGTGTGTGTGTAGCTCCGCCTCCACCTGAGCAGGTAGATCGGCTCCAACTTGCCGGGAGAAGTAGGCACGTCGAACAGGGCCCCCATATCCACATCGCTGCCCAGACCTTTGGTGACGATGGCGCCATCCTCTGGCAGCCAGCCGATGATGCTCCTCTTGGCCGCCTCCTCCTCCCTCTCCCGGCCGCAGCGCTTGAAGATCCACTCCAGGGCGCGCGCGTTCTCGCCGAACCCGGGCCACAGGAAGGCGCCGTTCGCCGGGTTCTTCCTGAACCAGTTTACGTGGAAGATCTTGGGCAGGTGAGTGGGGGCCTTCCGGGTCTGCATGCTCAGCCAGTGAGCGAGGTAGTCGCCGAAGTTGTAACCGAAGAACGGCCGCATGGCGAAGGGGTCGTGCATGATCACCTTGCCTGGAGAATGAAGAAGGGGCTTTAGCAGTAGAAGGTCAGGTGAGGCTCAGCAGCCGCCGTGGCTTCAGACCTCATAGAAGCTCCAATAAAGACTTTGCGTTGCCAATAGAAAGACTCGTACACCAGAGGGACTCCTACAAATCAATCATTGAACACATTTGATGCACGTTTAATTCAAGCAGAAAAGCACGCCTACAGCGTTTGAAACTATAACATGTGTGTGTCAGAACCGAGCGGGACTCAGACGCAGAGCAGGTGTATAGGATGACAGTTTATTCATAGTACAGAGTACTAATAGATCCAAAAAGAAGGTCACTCCAAAAGGAGGAAAACAAAGCTACTTATCTAAACCTAACTGAGACCTGACGCTGGAACAAAAAAGAGCTACAAAGAAAAATCACTCGAACGAGGTAAAACTGTGGTCACGAGACTAGAGAAACTATGACTATGGATCTTGGACACTGGCTGGTATGACGACGTAGGACGACACACTGGCACAAGACAAAGGGAGACGCAGACTATATGAACACATGGGGAAGCGGGAACAGGTGGACACAATCAGGAATCAGGGCAGACAATCAGTCTGGTGACACATCAGGAAGAGCAAGGAACCTGAAACGAGAGTTAATTTCCAAAATAAAACAGGAAGTCACGAAAACAAACGTGGAGACACTTGACATACAGGTGTGATAGTGTGAGCAGGACCAGTGGTAAAATCATAGTTCGTGTGGTTAAATAGTAGAATAATTTCTCTATTATGAATCAAACATATTGTATATTTTCAGTGATTCTTAACCATAGGGTACAAATTGAAGAGACCGGAGATATTGACGTTATTTATCCATGAGACGCTCTTTTGCTTCCCACCACTTGGTGGCGGTAACGCGTCCGTCAGTTGTTTAAACAGCTCCAATAAGCAGAAAAAAGACAGACAGCCGCCAAGCTGGTCTGTAAGTGAAAGTCATTAGAAATTTAAAATAAAAAATGAAGAGGAAGGTGGTGCCCAACAATACAATCCTGACTTCATTAAGTACGGATGTATAAACGGAGGTAATAAGGAGGTGTATAAGGAGAGAGCCCAGTGTGGAGTTTGGACCAACAACGAAGCACCGAAGCCGTCGAAATTAAAGCGGCATATGGAAACTGTAGCATCCCTTCAACTTGGAATAAACAGGCTTGGGAGTGTTTCCAGACGGGTGTACTTTAATTCAGATGAGTATGCATAGCACCAACACCAACACCATGAAAACTAAAAAGGGAAATAACAAAGGAAATTTAGCCAGATACAAAATAATCCTTTGACAAATGCACTTTAGCATACATGGATAACAGGCAACAGTCATTATATGAAATGAATTTACATGAAATACAATTACAATGAACCACATACCTCGCTCCGCATATCAAAGGGTGCTATAAAGTGGTAATCCAGGGAAGTCCGCCGCCATTAGCTTAATGTATTAAGTTGCTAGCTAGCTTCTCGTGTCTTCTATTAAACAGATGTGAGCGTGAGCATGAGCGCGAGCGATTAATCACGTGAGCAGATAACATGATGTCAAAATAAAAGTCACATAAAATCTAAGTAGGAAACAGGATCATCAAAATAAAAGAAAACTGCTAGTGGTCATTTACAGAAACCAAACAGACGGCGGATTTTTTTAAAAGAAAGGAAAATGGGCTACAGATGCAGAAAAGGTCGGTCATCCGACTGACTCGCAACTCTGAATCCGACCTGAAACCGACCTGAACCTGAAAGCCAGTCACCTCGTAGCCAGACGTGTGGCACAAGAAACCTTCCACCACAGCGGAGGAGTCGGTTCTACACGCCGCTGCGGATGTGCGCAGATATGAAGAGCAACTGCTGGCTCTGTGATGTCAAAATATTGACTGCTGAAGCATTATTCAAATGAATTTGATTATAAGCTTATGAGGCTACATGTTGATTTGCACTTTGCACTAAAAAACTAAGCCAAAACAGAAAGAAAAGAGAAAATAATTACATTTACGCAAAAACTATACTAGTAAAACACCGACAAACGGCTTAACCAAAGCTTAACAAAATCACAAATAAGGAAAATAACTAATAAGTACGGCTTGTCTCTTGTACACAGTTAAAATATGTCTTGACCCAGTTAGGAGGCCCACAGCGAAACACGCAAAAATTAGCAATGTGGGGAGGCCAAAAAAAAGCAGACCCCAAACCAGGGTGAATTTAGCCAAAGCAGACCCCAAAGCCAAAGCAGTAGTGTTGTTACCTCCGACCCTCCTGCTTCAAAGCTTGTGTCGAAATATGAACCAGTGCACGGCGAAGCAAATGTATCGGTGCTCGGTTCGTTCACTGCTGATCACGTGATCAGTGACGTCCGAATCTTCATTCCGGCGCACAGTCACGTGACCGCTTCAATTTGATTCAAATGGGCTCGAAACAGGATTCGGGCTTGTCGGTTTGATACAGTCAAAGTCAGTATTGTTGTAGCAGTAGTAGCAAAGAGCAAATTTACAATGGAACCTGTGGCAGAGAGGTCGCTCCAATTTGATTTCCTCTAACAAGGTTGGCAATAGGCAGGCAAAGTCTGTCATTTGTATTGTGTAAGTATGTAATTATGTTTATTTTTATTGTGGAGACCACCAGATATTTGGCTGAATCAAACATTCCACGGAGTGAAGACCCGCTAAAATATTGGACAAACATGTGTACCCACATCTATTTGTATTAGCACGCAATCTTATGAGCATTCCTGCCTCATCTGTGCCGTGTGAGCGCCTTTTTTCTAAGGCGGGGGAAATAGTATCTACAAAAAGAAACCGACTCAACCCAAATACTGTGAAGAAAATTGTGTTTCTCAATAAAAATCAATAATTTCATGCCCCATCCCATGTGTCCACAAGCACCACAATAACCTGTCATGATAAACCTGTCCAAAAGCACAATCACTGCCCAACTGACCTTTCCTCTGTAAATCACTTCCCACATTCCAACAATTCACATAAGTCCCTATGACTGCTATGAACTGCACATGAAGTAGGAAGCACTGGTATTTTAAATTGTATATAGGAATCCATGTATTTATTAGATGATTTATTGGTTCAACTTTTCATAATCATTTTCAACCCACAGAGACTGGGTCAAAATATACTGGTAGGCTATTTGATACACATGCACTATAGGTTTTCAACAGCAGAGGTCATCATAGTTTGCGATGCACTGAATCAATGAACCTTTTTCCGATACAATTGGCTGGAAAGCTTCACTTTGCTATCACTACAAAGCAGACCCCCAAACAGGGTGAATTTAGCCAAATCAGAACAGGGTGAATTTAGCCAAAGGCAAAGCAGCAGTGGTCTCTGGCAGGTTGGCTGGTGTAGTGCTGCTGCTCAATGATCTTTTGCCCGGTCATGCCGTTTCGGACAATCAGCGTGGGTTAGAGGGATCAACGATACCACGAGAGTTACCAGCGGTGGACATCGAGTGCATCAGGTGGAGAATAGTATGCAGCCATACCAGTGAGCTTCTGGGACACAAAGAACACTTAAATGAGCACTGGACGGACCACCTGGAAGCGAATACAGCTGCTGCCGACACCCTACCTCTGCCTAACACTCTTAAGACACTGCTCACAATCCTTTGATAAAATCCAGCTGTGTGCGTCTACTCAGTGCTGCTCCAGCTGCTGAATGCCTCTCCTCCTCCTTTTTTTGGTTCACGGGTTAAGGTTTTTAGTTGGCATCCATCTTATTGGTGCATTATCGCCACCTTCTGCCCCGGAATGTGAATCAGACACTATCTTTCTCCCAACATGCCCCTCCCTCCCCAAAAATAAAATAAGAAAAATAAATAAGTAAATAAAAATAAGAAATAAAAATTAACACATTTATCCACACACACACACACACACACACACACACAAATCAACTCAGCTAAAATGACAAAACAAGACAGTTATTGAAATAAATTTGAATGCACATGAGCAGGAGTCCAGTTAATAATGCATCAATATTCATCCTCAGGACGACATTTAATTCAGTACAAGACGACCAAAATGAAAAGTATCTGCCTCTCACCGTGGCAGTTCCTTGTTTGTCATGTTTCCACATGTTCAGTTGGTGTTGTTACTCTGAGTGAGGTGAGAAACCGTTATTTAGCTTTGTGGCTCTAACAGATGAATAAGGAGAAGTGGGGAGTATCTTACACCCAATAAATTCTGAGAACTTAAGAACAGGGGAAGTTGTTTAGTCAGACACTGCAGTACTCTCACTTGTGAAGTACAACTTTCTGCAATAAAATTCATTAGGAAATGCCATTTTCAACTCAAAGAATATGTTATGTGTACGAGGGATGAGACAATGTAGGATTGCATAAGATATTCCATTAAAGAATAAAGAAGTAATATCATGTACAAAGGCGCAGACTCACGCAAAATGTTTTTTTAAGTTCACTAAAACCGATAATGGGCGGCACGGTGGTGTGGTGATTAGCACTGTCGCCTCACAGCAAGAAGGTTGTGGGTTCAACTCTACCCAGTGGCCTTTCTGTGTGGAGTCTGCGTGGGTTCCCTCCGGGTGCTCTGGCTTCCTCGCACAGCCCCCCCCCCCCCTCCCTGCAACGCTGTGTGACAGATAAGTGCTTTGAAGATGGATGGATGGACTAAAACAGTTGCCACATTGGTATGGAACGCCCAAATGTTATGGAAGGCTTTCCGTTGGCAGCTCCAGCCCCCCCCCCCCCACTGGCAAAGGCCTGTCGCCGTTCCTGGAAGTCCTGCAGCTTGCTGGACATTATGCATTATGCTGAGCATGAGGAAGATGTTCAAAATGGTCAGGACGCACTAAGAAGGACAAGGAAACAGGAGAGACTGGACGACGGCCAGCTGACCATATACAACGCAATGGCAAACGGGGCGCGGGGACGGAGGCAAGGACGAGGCAGAGACACGTTCCAAAACAGCGCAATTGTCCCACGTGATGATTTGAGGTTTCTAGTCCACATACCATTTTGTTCAGTAGTTGATTTGGCGAATGCATTTTTCTCCATGCCCGTCCATCCTGAGTGTGAATGTTGGTTGGCATTCACCTTCCAGGGGCGTAGCTACACCTGAGCAAGATGTGCACAAGGATACTCATGTCAAACTTTCATCTGCAGCTGAGCCTAAATTTACAAAACTAACTTCCTATCAGGTTAGATGACGACATGTGGATGACCTCATGGTGGCTAGGCCCTCAGAAGAAGCATGCAAAACAAGACACAGTTGCACTTTTGACCTTTCTGGCTAACAATGGTCACAAAGCCAGCTCTAAACTTCAACTTGTCCAGACAAAAATAACGTATCTGGGACATCTGATCACAGCAGCGGGATATTCTCTCTCCAAAACGCCAAAAACAAAGAAACAAGTGTTTCCTAGGAATGACGTCATACTGCAGACAGTGGATCCTTAACTTAGAACTGTCCATGGCAAACAATTGACAGCTCGATGCAAAATAACCTGGACCCCAGAAGCAACGAAGGCCTTTGTAGAATTGAACCGTAGTATTGAGAATACTCTTGGCTTACCAAATCCAAACAAGCCATTGGTCCAATTTGTCGACCAAAGGGGTGGATACGCTACCTCTGTCCTGTGTCAGAAACATGGGGATAAACGCAGACCTGTTGCTTTTTTTTCTTCTACAAAACTGGATCCAGTAGCAGCAGGCCTGCCCCTCTGCCTCAGAGCTGTAGCAGCTGCAGAGAAGGCAGTTACAGCCTCTAGAGATTTAGTAGGATATTCCGACCTCATGGTTCCGCATGCTTTAGCTCATATTCTACACACACAAAAGACATCTCACTTGTCAGCGCAGCGGTGGTTGAGATGTCACACCACATTGTTGAAAATGCCCAACGTCACAGTAAAACGCTGTTCCAGTCTAAATCCTGCTTCTCTTCTCCCGACACAGAAAGATGGCGATAACACAGAAACTTTTCATGACTGTGTGCAGATTCTGGGTGAGGAGTGTTTGCCGAGGGTTGATCGCTCAGACACACCTCTCCCAAACGCTGACCTTGAGTTGTTTGTGAATGGTTCTGCATCAAGAAATAAGACGGGCAACAATCAAACAGGTTTTGCTGTTGTCACCCAACATGCTATTGTAGGATCACCATCTAATTTTTCAGCACAAGCTGCAGAGTTAATACCCCTCACGAGGCATTTAAACACAACAACCAACATCTATACAAACTCTCGTTATGCGTTTGGAGTGGTCCATGACTTTGGTGCCATTTGGCGACTCAGAGGTTTCCTCACCTCCTCTGGAAACCTGTAGCTAATCATCACCTTATTTCAGATCTTTTGAATGCTATAATGTTGCCAGGAAGGTGATGAAATGTGATGCTCATCTCAGTAGGTCCCCACCATCCAACCACTAGTTACTTCTGCACAGAAGGCGCTGTGGGCAAAAGCTGGATCCACATTTTTGAAAAAAAATGTGGTTTGCCTGATTCAAAGCAGTGTTTCCCACAGGCTGCCTTTCCATTTCATGCTAAGCTAGCACATGGAACAGACCCGTGGGTAAGGGAGTGTTAGGGGGTGTAGTTGGTGGACCCAAATGCACACGCACAGCAGTTTGATTTGTAGCCAATGATTTTATTTCCCATACAACCTGGGAAGTGAACAACTTCTCCACCAATGTCTTGCGGCCTGGGGGGATAGGGCAGGATTCCAGTGTGGATACCGGAGGTCCGACATCATAACCAGAGTTGGATTTAAACGAGTCACGTGTACTCCGTGGTACTCCGCGGGTCTGACACAGCAGAACAAAAAGCAAAAACAAGCAAACTGGTTAGCTACGTCTGATAGCGACATTCAACGGCACCTGAGACCAGCCTGGGTACTGGGACGGACTGACGATGAGCCTCTGGACTCAGGAGCCTTCATGCCCGTCACTGGTGATCCCCGGAAGGAGCCACAGCTGAGCTATTGAGAGAGGGGCGGGACCGGAGGCAGAACCCAGGGGTGGAAACTCTAGGTTGACAAAAAACAACAAAACAAAAGCACAGACGGGGAGGCAGATAAACAGATAGGGACCCTAACAGGGAGGGATGAACACAGCTATAAATGCCAATTGGTTTATCAGAGGATTTAAAACTCCCAACTTGTGAAGGAAAGAAATATTGTTTGGTGTTGGTTCAGCAAATGTGTTGAAGTTGTCCTTCCTCAAAACAGGATGCAGGTGCAGTGGCCAAGTTTCTTCTCAGAGAAATCCTTCCACGGTGGGGGATCCCCACAAAACTCATGCGTCCAAGCTGTGAAGGAAATGTCTGATTTTCTTGGTTATGACCTCAAATATCATCGCTCTTATCACCCACAAAGCAGAGGTGCTGTTGAAACATAGGGCTTAGACCAGGGGCTACTTCTCGAGACTCCAAACTCTATGGTGACTGCATGTTGAATCACTGCGTAGGCCTCTCGGCTTCTCTTCCAGCTCTCCATTCACAGGTAAAAGCCACGCTGCCCACACCAGCTGACACGCTAGAACACCGCATCAAGCCTGGCGACTGGGTGGTGAGTAAAGACTTCAGGAGGACGCACTGGAAGCAGCGGCGATTCACAGGTCCGTTCTAGGTTCTCCTGATGAGCCAGACCGCTGTGATTGAAGCTATTAAAGCTGCCGACAAGTAGCATGCTAAGCTACCAACGAACGTGTCGTGGGACCTGGCGAACACCAACCATCTGTTGGAGCTGCCAGCAAGTAGCGTGCTAAGCTACAGTCAAACACATCAGAGGAACCGAACTACAAAGGTCACACAGAGGCCAGACAGAAGGATTGATGACGTGTTATCTTAAATCTTGATGACGTGATATCACTGATGTGTGCTGTGAATTATGTAACCATTTACGGCATATTACTTTAATTACTATTACTCATTTCCTTCACTTGTGTTTTGATTTTCCCATGCTTATGATAACATAAATGTGCATTTCAACTATTTCTGTAACATGATTCGACTGTATTGTACATCTTTTACATCATTCCATAATGTGACAACAGTACTGTGATGATCAACCTGATTTCTGTCCAATCCTTCCTTGAGGGATTTCTTCCTTATTTTTTTCCCGTGAACAGGTTTTTCTTTCATGCCTTGTGAATCTTTTTACAATGGTAAATGATTCTAACCATGATGTTGTGCACTGTTATATATTGTAATGTGTTATGGCCATGATTTTTATTTTTTGATTTTCATCTATCTATCTATCCTGTATGATCTGAAGGGGAAGATGTAGAGGGAAAGTGAACTGCACCACTATTGAACCTGTTCCCATGTCATCTGGGGCACACGATGCACAGCTACTGAACTGGAAGTGTTGAGCTTGCGTCCCATCGAACCTTTTGCCTGTGATGGAAAGGCTTATCGGTTAATTGGTTGTGCTGAGTTCCACCAAATCACTTGTATAATGGAAGGTCCCACAGAACTCTTTTCCAGCTAAACCTGAACTGTGTGGATCAACTCATATAATTGATCCACTTGTCCTTGGGAACAGAGACTGAAAAACCCTCTCTGTACATCTCTGTATCATTTAATTGTCTCCCTCTGATGATGATCATTGATTTACTGTCTTCAAGCATATAAAAACCCTGACTGGGATCCTCTCGGTACCGATTCCAGAGCAGTTGGTTGATTGTGAACTGTTCGGCTCAGTCGTTTTGCGCAGAAGTCTGTTAAAATATATAAAGAAAAATTTCTCTTTGTAGGTCTCCCATTATTTGCTCAAATTTCCACCACAGGGATCTTGTTTGCAAAGTGTAACTTCAGCCCTAAATCACGAGAGAAATTTAACAGCAAAACAACAACGGAGTGGAGTGTGGATTAAAAATGACCCTCAATTTGGCCTTAATGCAAATAATATGGTGTCCCACAGTAGTGGGACAGTTTCCACATATCCGATGAGTTTTACTGGAGACTTGAGTCAGAAAAACTGCTCCACTTTATTTTCCAGTTTAAACACAGCATACACAGACACATACTACTCCAGGGTTTAGGACCGTCTATCAACAGCTGTTTGTGATTCCTTCTAAATAAGAGTTAACGGTAAGAGACGTTTCATTCAGAAACAACAGATTAATGACCCGAAGCCCCAAAACATTATTTAATCAACACGTTTTCCTTTCTGAAGGAGACTTTTACTGCTTTAATGATGGAGGAGTTTATTACTGTGTGGCCACCATCAGCTTGAAATCAAAATGCCTTTTCTTAAGTTAAAATCATGTTATTTAATCATTGGCTGGTGAATTAATAGACAGTTTTGTTGTGGTTTTAGTACAATACAAGTGTGTGAATTATATTTTATCTGCCATTTACAGGAACACCAGCAGTGATATTTGTCTCCACCTCCCAGTTCCTCCTCCTTCCTCTCAGAGACCATCTTGGTTCAAAGACCTGTGACTTCTGCATTGAACTTGTCAGACAGCAGACTGCACTGAAGAAGAAACACTCACTCAATGTAAGTTAATGTCACCTTCAATACTTCATTTTTATGGATTTACAATCCTTTTTTATTGAAATATCATCAAGTTACAAGAGATTTCTTTCAAATTATTCACAAACAAGTTTACC